TGCACTTGTTACTAGTAGCGTCCTCTTGCTCCTAGTAGAAATGCCAGGAGCTACTAGAAGCGTCCTTGCTTCTAGTAGCGATGCCTCTTGCTCCTAGTAGCTTCTTGTTACTCTCAGCTTCCAATCCACCTCTGGCCCCAGTGCTCATCCGCTCCCTCCCTCCAGGTGGCTCATCACTCGCGGCTGCTGCGCTTCATCTTCCGGAAGATCGGTGCCGGAACAGCCTGGGAACCTTGGCTTGCGGCGTTTTTAGGTTCGTCTTTGGTTCGTCTCCGGTTGGATTCTGAGTTTTGGGAAGCAGCAATGAGCAGTGTTTAGGGACCATGAGCAGTCCTGCTTGTAGGCTTGTAGATGTGTCTTTTTGTTCACAAGTGGCAGCCAATCAACCTTTACGACCAGCTGGAAAGACTGAACGGTGGCTTGAAGCCACCAACAATGCTTTCTTGTTGGTTCGGAGATGTGCGATTCGCGCGAGACATCACGAGAATCGCCTAAGACCGGTGCGTGAGTTTGATTCCCGACCGGTGCGTCTAAGACGGGTCAGGTTTTCGTTTCCGGTGGAGTTGATTTCGTTTTGGCTCAGAGTTGGCTGTTCAAGCATCAGAGCTTCCATCTGCAGGGGATTTGGAAAGCCACTGGATGATTTGTGCTCCAAGAGTTCTTTCATGTTCCTTCGTCCTGGTCAGTGCTTGCCAGAGCGGATGAAAGACCACCAGCGTCGCGCGGTTTCACGCGGCCGCTTCTTTTCGTCCGCTCCAAGCGTCCAAGGAGAAGCAACGAGTGCGGGTGTTTCAGATTTGGATCTCACAGCCCCTCGGGTTGACGGAACCCGGTGTCCCCGCGGCGCGGCATGGCGCTGGCCGTTGGTCCGAGGGGATTCAAAGACTGGCGGTGGAAGGGAGGAAGGAGATCCCAAGTATAAAGAGGAGAAGTTGAGGAACACCGCCAATTGGAGCAGTGCTTTCATGTACTTTTCAACCCTATTTGGGAAGGGTTTAGTTAAACCAGATTGTTGTGACACTCATGGGATGGGAGTCTTGCCAGGTGCGGTCGTAGACCAGTCCCTTTTAGACTAAAGAGAGGTTCCTCCAAGGTTTGATCGAAACGGACACTATATCAACAACAGAGCATCCAGGCAGTTCCCACGAGAGCTCGCTGGGAGTCCTGGTTCGCAACGACTGTAGCACCGGTTCGTACCGGTGACAGAACGGCTTCCCCAACGGGCCCCTGGTTCCGTACTCGCTGCCAGAGGATCCACGGCCAAAAAACAGAAGCACCGTCAGGATCTTGAAAACACCAACCTGTCGCCAAGAGGTCGTAATCTGAGAAAGTACTTCGACCCCCCCCCATGGTTGAAGGATGGCTTCATCCATAAAACGAAAACCTTGCAGGTGCACAACCTGCGATGTTGTGTTTCATCTCGGGTTTGTCTCCTGCAGAAATCAAAGACAACAAGGAGTGTTGTGTTGCAACAACACAACGATAATAAAAACAATAACGCAGCGGCGAGCCTAAGACAATCGTACGCAATGGCCCACATATGCACCAGCTGTGCTAGCCTGGAATTAATTGTGCCTTGACTTAATGTTTGCCAGTTCCACGGCACATATGCAGCGAGCACACACATGTATAATTAGTATGTATATACATGGTGCAGTTAGTCAAAGCATGTCAAAGCACTGTAAAGCGGAAAATATTGGAGGGGTTTTAGACAACCTATAGGCCCCCTGCAGTCGGGGACCCCTTGTGAAACATTCCAAGAGATGAATTGTCAGGTTGGAACACCTCTATGCATGTCACTTCTAAAGATGCTTGCGCGTTGCCTTTGCGCTTTGCTTTTGCATTAAGGTTGAACCCTGGGAACCGCCCAGCTCGCCCCCTCCGCCCGTTGGAGGCTCTTGCAGTTCCCCTGGCTGGACGTGCGCCTGAAGCGCCGCACACTGGACAGCGCCTTGCGCGCCTGGCTGCTGCAGCGCGGCGGCTATGGGGTGCCACACCCCGAGGAGGTCCGGGAAGTCTCGGAGGAGCTCGCAGCACCTTGGATATCCAAGGCACAGCATGGCACAGCGCGGTAAGAGGAGGGGTGTTTAGAAACAGGGGTGGGAACCGTTTTTTTTGTTATGCGTTTTTGGGATCGTTTACCAGGGAGTTGGTGAGAACTTTCAGGTGCGTGAACGGACTTTGGGGCGTGAGCGGTCCCAGGTGAAGCCAACACCACGAGTCGAAATGAGCCGCTAGTAGCTTCTTGCTGTTAGTAGCGATGCCAGGAGCCCCTAGTAGCGAACATTGCTCCTAGTAGTAAGGCCAGGAGCCCCTAGTAGCGTTTAGAGGGAACATGTGATGTCGGGAGCACGTCGAAAGCCCAAACTTGGCCGCAGCGAGCCAAACGCCTCGGTGTTGGCTGACGTGTTGGCTGACAGGGATGGAGCGAAACGAAATGACTTCCGAATGAAACCTTCGGTCTGACCCGTGTCGCACCGATGTGTTGGTCGTGAGTTTTTCCCATCGAGTAGCAGGGTTCGAGCAGTTTCGCAGGATGAAGTGGGAGAGAGAATACAAGAAAAGGAAAGAGTAGCAGATGTAGCAGTGGGATCAAGGGTCATGAGAATATATTCCTACCGCTGATTTCTACTACCACTTGCTACGTACCATCTACATGTACAATCATGTACATCTACATCTTACTACTATACTAATAACAATAAAAAAAAAAGTAGTAGTAATAATTATATATACTGATAATAATTAACACAATCACATTAATTTTATGGTAAGGACGGAAGAGAAAGAAACATTGCCCTGGAGTTCTTTGGCCAAGGAGATGGGTGTGAAGCACCAATGCTTCGTTCACCTGAAAGAAACGCCCTACCAATTGGACGTGGTCTTACACACTGCGCACAAGGCAGACGACTCTCGTTGCGTCACAAAGAGATGGCGTGGGTGTGGAGAAGTCTACAAATGGGATTGGGAAAAGTTTGAAGTCTACAAATGGGATTCTGCAACAGATGTTCCTGTCTCCATCATCCCGCAGTTGGTGAAGGTCTAATCTAATATTCATTTAGGTTTGATGAAAACATCCAAAGCTCCGTTTGTTGCTACTAGTAGCTAGAAGCTACTAGTAGCGATGCACGTGTTACCAGTAGCGTGTTTCCAGCTGAAAGCATCCAAATCCATCCAAAGCCTCATAGCACGGCCGTTAATTTTTTCAGAAGATCCTGCGGCAGGCAGCATTCCTGGTCTCCAGCGAGACAGCGCGGAACTCGCTCACGCCGGTGGGCGGCGTCTTGTTGCAGTTGAAGTGACCTGGCAAAGAGACATGACCAGAAAGGGCAAAAGAAAAGGTGCAAAAAAACGAAGAAAAGGGACAATGTTCGCTACTAGTAACAAGTGCATCGCTACTAGTAACAAGAAGCTACTAGGGGCTCCTGGCCTTACTAGTAGTAACAAGGACGCATGGCGTGTAATGTGTGCAATTCTTTGCGATCCTTCGCGGCACAAGTGCCGATCATTGGGGAGACGAGAAAACTTGTGGCCTCGTTGGACATGGGTGTCGAAGCGTCCGGTCTGTCAGATGCTCGGTTGTGCTCCAGTTGGCTTTTGGGAGGCCATCGCTAGTCGGTTGGAGGCCATTGCTTCTGGGTTGGAAGCTATTAGGTTTCTTTGAAGCCGAACAGATCAGCTTCAAAGCTTTCAAGATCACAGCACACGACCACACACGACCAGACTGGGACTGGCATATATTGACCCTAAGTATACCTTGATGTGGTTTCTTAGGGTTAAAGTTCTTCTATGGTAATACATGGAGTGTCTATTAGGATCCAGTTAGGTGGCTGATGTTGCCCCTGTCCACCCAGGCACTTACGGGACCGTGGTTGGCGCTGCCTGGTCATTCCCCGGCGTGCTTGGCAGCGCCTGCCGTGCGCCCCAAGTCTCGCGCGGCGGGAGTACCTGGCAACGCTCCTGGAGAGCCTGGCGCCGCGATGCGCTGCGCATGGAGTGTGGAGTGAGGCCGAAAAAGGTGGGCTGCGTGTGGTGGACTGCGTGGAGTGTCAGTCTGCCGGCGTGGGCGTGGGCGTGGCGTTCAGACCCCCTGGTAGACCAGTCTACCCATCCAGGGGCGAGAAAGTTCTCCTTATTGAAAATAGATACACATGCATCCAGCCACGTGGAGATCCAGGCAAACTGCTGGGAGTCCCAGTGGTTCCAGTTTGACTAGAATGAACATGAATGAACCATAGATCGGACGAAACAAACCCAAACTCGTGGCCTGGGATGCGCTGGGTTCGGCGGAGGAGTCGAAAAAGAGGTCCAGGTGGATCCCTATTTGTTCAGCTACGACTGGACCCTAAACCTGCATAACCGTGTCTCTAATCAGAGAAGGTACGAAAATGGGTCCCTAGAGGAGATCGGAAGTGGAAAAAAGAAAGCACTTCGTCCCAAGAGAAGAAGAGACTTCCGTGACCAGACTTGGAGCAAATCGGTGTGGTGGGTAGGGCTGTGTGGGCCTTTTCCTGGTTCCTTTAGAGACTGACTTTGTTCAGCATATGTTCAGGACAAGTCCATCTCCAGCACCAAAACAGAGGGGGTTGGCGTTTGTGTGAAGGAACTTGCAGCCTTCTATCGTCATGGAGTAAGTAGATAGAATGTGAACCAATCGCAAAAACATGACCAGTTTCCGGCTTCCGGCAGCTTTGTGGATTTTCCCATCTTCTATTTACTCCGGGATGATATAAGAATCCGATGCATCCGCCAGAGGCTCCGAATGGCAGGTGAGCAACAAAGACCCCCAAACAGAGACTCCTTGGCGCTGATCTACACTCTGGCGACCACATGATCACATGGAAGTGGAAACTGTGGATGGCCTCTATCTATCAAGTATCGTCTTTCCAGGGAGGAACAAGGTGCGCTAGAGCTGTCGGACGCTAGCTCGGGGCTCCCGGAAGGGGTGGGTGGATCAGTCCGCTGATGTATTGGACACCGGTGAGCTCCCCACGTTTCAGGTACTGGCTCTCCTTCGCAGGCGACGCCCTCGCAGACGCTGTCGGAGAGATCCCCCCCTCCCAACGCCGCTTCGATGCGTGGCGAAGTTGGTGTGTGTGTGTGTGTGATGTTGCGGAGCGGAAGAGGCACAGTGCTCTGCTTTTTCGAATGTTCGGCTTCGGGGTGATTTGGGGCCGCCATCCCCATTGAAATGTTTGCTGGGGGTGGCCGCTTGACACTTTCTGCTTTGCTGATGTTTTGGCTTGGCCTCCAAGCCTTGCTGATGTTCACAACCGGTCATTCAACTCACCTGGGTTCTTCCGGTTGAGCAACAGGTGTGACTCTTTGGCACCGAAAAAATAGACAATAATAATTGTTACTAGTAGTAAGGCACTTGCTCCTAGTAGCTTCTTGTTACTACTAGTAAGGCACTTGTTTCTAGTCTATGACTCTATGATGTATATAAGTTCAGGTATGTAGGTGACTCTTCTGTTTGGAAACTCTCGTGTTCTTTCCATCTCAGTGACGATAAGTCTCTACGGCTAACCCGTGCGGTAGGCCAGTTGTGGTCCGCTTGTCACGTGTTGAGGTCGTGGTACTGTTTTCCATCCACTGAAGACCGTGGATTTCGTGGTGCTGGATGAGGCAGATGATGGTCATAGACTCATAGATGGTCATTTGAAGAGGTCCAAGACAATAGGCTACTGGCTAGTCCAAAGGCTGCTGAAGTGCCAAAAAAAAGGTCCTCATATCCAGGAGCTCCTTGTTGGGTTGCCAAACTTGCAGGGGCCCACATCGTGTACACGGTTTGGTGCCCATTGTCAGTGGATGGGACGAAGCAATCCATTCCGGCATGGAACTGGACGTGAAATGCACTTCAAGTTCAACCTCTATAGGTAAATTAGATGTTAAAACAATCTGCTTTTGAGTTGCTAATAGCGATGACCTCCAACCTACTAGTGATGGCCTCCGCCTACTAGCGATGGCCTCCACCTAGTGGCAGCTTTGCTCAGCTCATGGAGAACTAATTCTCGTCCTCGAAGTGGATGGCAGATGTTTCGGGCATTTGTCTTCACTGAACCCGAAAGATTGCGATTGCGAACAATGTCGACGTACTGACTTCAGGTGACCTCCTACCAACCAGGACCTTCAAACCTTTTACGGGTCTAAGAAGGTCTAAGTGACCTTTTTACCTGGGCTTGATATCATATCAAGTTGGGTCACTTTGAAGGTCCTGGAGGTTCATGTCGGATTAAAACTGCTTTGAAAACAGTAAGGCACCTTGCGAATTACTAGTAGCTACAAGTAGGCTACAAGCTACTAGTAGCTTGCCACTTTGGCCCCTTTAGGCGGTTTCTCCGTGACATTGGCGAGGGTTCAGTGACCGTGACCGGAAGTGGTTTCGGCATTTCCTCGCTGAAACGACTCAGGACTCCGGGACTCCGGAAAAACACTCGGCTAGTAGCTTCTTGTTCCTAGTAGCGAGGCCAGGAGCCCCTAGTAGCTTCTTGTTCCTAGTAGCAAGGCCAGGAGCCCATAGTAGCTTCTTGTTCCTAGTAGCGAGGCCAGCAGCCCTAGTAGCGTCCTTGCTCCTAGTAGCGAGGCCAGGAGCCCCTAGTAGCTTCTTGTTCCATCTTGTTCCTAGTAGCGAGGCCAGGAGCCCCTAGTAGCTTCTTGTTCCATCTTGTTCCTAGTAGCGAGGCCAGGAGCCCCTAGTAGCTTCTTGTTCCATCTTGTTCCTAGTAGCGAGGCCAGGAGCCCTAGTAGTATCCTTGTTCCTAGTTGCGAACCGCCTGCTTTTCTCTTCCGGAGGCGGACCACGTGCTGCGTGAGGGACTGGGTGAGCTCTGCTTGTCAGGGCCCATGGTGACGACAGGACAGCTTTCGGCGAAGGTCAGCGTTCGGCACAGCCACGAAATCGAGCGACGGGGAAGGGCTTGGCTGTGGGAGGGACCAAAATGAGTCGAGTTTTCCATGCATCGCAGGTTCTCAATTGTTCAGTAATGTTCGGTATCTGAGGGGCATAGTTGTGCGCTGACACAAGTGTGGCAGAAGCGGTTGAAACTTCGTTGATGAGACGAGACTCATGTTTGTGAACTCGACGTTTGGTACGTGAAATTGTGTGCTTTGTTGGACATCAATTTCGGTGAATTTCAGCTGGTGCTGGAGCGCGTTGACCAGAAGATCGAGATGTTGGTGGCAGAGGGCACAGTTTCTTGGTGAAGTCGGCAAGAACTGACCCGACGAAACTAAGGAAGGAATCATGTTGTGCAACCAGAATGATGCAAAAGACATTGTCGATAGCCTGAAGACCAAACCCAAGGCATTCGCCATCGCTGTTTTGGGACACGAATGTACAGTGACAGGAAGTACATGTCACGCAATGCACATCCCCGCATTGGACAGACATGGGAAGCAGGTAATCCTGAAAGCTTGTGTACATCAGCTTGGCGCTGAACACATCTGTTTGGCATCAAGAAAGGGAGACAACATCCAGGTAGCTGAATCGCAGCTTGTGGCTATCACTGGCTGGAAACATGAGATGACAGCAGATCTTCGGCAGGCTTTGCTGTCTGCTCCTGCCAAAACGTGTGCACAAGATTGCACAAGTACTTTCCATTAAGCCGCGGGGTTTCAGCAGTCGTCCCGCAGTGCGCGGCCGTGAGGTCTGCACAGTGCCTCGGCCGTGCTGATGTAATGGTCGGAAGTTCGACTCGAGCGATTCATACCCCCGAATCACACGGCAGGATTATGGAGCCTCCCCCTGGAAAGGGTCTTTCGAGGCAAAGATAGCATCTCGGACCCAGCTGATGCTATTTCCTTCCAGTATCACGTGCGTATCAGATCGTGTCTTGAACTCCTCATGTCTCGGAGTGGCAAGGAAGGAGTATACCTTACACCCAAATCGGAGACGCTCAATAGAACGGACGAGAAATACGCCATTGTCTGGCTTCCTGATTCTACATGGCAGCCAGCTCTGGATTTTTCGACCACGGTTGATCAAAGCTTAGGCCTGGCGAAGTCTGGGAGCGATGGTCATTGGGGAGTAAGACTCCACACAGATAGATTTGAGGAAACCTTTGGCAAAGCTTTTCCCACCAAAACCGTTCCAAAAGTCTTGGTCACCCATCATTTAGCCAGGTTACGCCGACACCTATCGGCGCCACGGCAGACAACATCCGAGCTTGGCTTGAGACGCAATCCATTCAGGGTAAGCCGATTACCGATTCGACCACTTAACCCATCAACATGGCTTGTGTCGACCGTTGACGAGATTCGTCGCCATTTTTTGACATGGGGGTCCAACTCAATTTTGATACAACCCGTACAGAGGTGGAAAGAGAAATCAAGACCTACAATCCTTGCAGGTCAAAAATCGCAAGTGAAGCCATGGTCTGATACAGAGATGGTGGAGAAGACTTGTTGCAGCACAATGACCCATGGGCAGGCGTGGTCTGCTGCCTCATCCTCTGCAAGTGCTCCATCATCCAGTAGCAGGTCAAGTCGATCAGTCGACGTCCCATCACATCTCCCAATCCCAGCTGTCGATTGAGAAATCTGAGATGACACAAATCAAAGACCGACTTCAATAACTTGAAGAGACGGCAAGCCAAAAAGAACAGACCGATCGGCTGTGGAAAACAGCTATGACCCGTGATATGAAATCATTCCAACAAGAAGTTCGTCATGAAGTGAAGGAGTTTGAGAAGAAATACGAATCTTCCTTGGAAAAGGCACTGGCAAAAACAGAATCGAAACTTGAAGGTTCGATCGCAAAAGCCATGGCTGGCCTCCAATCCTTCATCCAAGACCAGAATATGCAGTCCAAGCGCCCAGCGCCACTGAGCCCGCAAAGAGTGACGCTTCGATGCCAGAAGAGGGGAAGTGAGCGCTGAAGGGTGACCTTTTGAGTTTCACCTTCGCGGACATCCTTGTTGGCTCTTTACCGCAATCCTCGAGAGATGTTGTTTGCAACACGAATGACAGGATTCTTTTTTACATGCCATTCAAATTCGGATGTCATCAATTCATTTCGCAAGTTTGTTCTAGAGAGCGCACCTTTTTCCGACATGTGTGGTCAACGAAGCCACTTATTCGCTGCCGCAGTAAATCCACGCATTGTTCCTTTTCACTCCTTGATATTCTACCCACCTGATCGATACTCATTGGTATGCCACTGGTTCCTAGACTGTGTTTTGACTTTGACCATTTACATGCATGTAGGGCTCAAAGGATGCAGAAGCTGCGTTGACGTTTAGGCCCCAGGACCTGCGCCATTTCTACGAGTTTGGTTGGCGGTAGGGTCGCCCGGTGGATATGGTAAGACGAAAAAGACGTCTAGTCCGTCCTGGCATAGGAAGCTACGCTCAAGGAGATCTCGAGCAAGGCGATTCTAGCACTGGACGAAGGAGGTAACCTACCTACCAAGGAGGCAACAGTTTTTTCCTTGCGGTTTATCGACTTGCCTTCCATCACGGTTCACGTATGGGAGCATGGTCTCAAGGAAAAGGCAAGCAAGTGGGAGCTTGCATGGAATGGAATGTATGGCCACCTGCAAAGAAGAAGGAGAAGAAAGAAGGCAAGGGGAAGCCTTCAGAAGCCAAAGAACCAGAGTTTCCTACTTACGAGTCACTATGTCTTCCTCCTCGGGAGCTGCACCTGGCAAGGAAGTGGAAACAAGGAGTCTTGGATTTCCTTCATTCGAAGCATATCGAGCCGGAAGGACAACTGAAAGAACTCCTGCAGATTTTGCAATTTTCGTGCTCTGCTGTACAGAGAATGGTGGTGTGCCAGAGCAACTGTCCTCAGATTGAAGTCGATGAGGCCCGGGTATGGTTGAAGGAGTTGAATAACCATCTTCCGAGGGGTCAAACGACCTTTGGACCCGACTATCATAGAGGAGTCCACCATTAATTTAGAATTCATTGCGAGGCGCTGCACTCCTGTCTAGAGACCCCGGCGCGATTCGGAAATCGCAAATTTACATGCACGTAGGGTTGGTGGAGCGGCCCATCCAGGACCACCCGTTACACCGACGTGTGCTTAATTAATCAACCCGACCTCGACCGCCAACAGAAAAGACATGTTTCTTTCGTTGCCGACGTGATCGCATTGGCGGAAACTTCTGCCGCTGCAATTGTTCAGCATGAATTTTACCAATCGATGAAGGGCACAGATTATACAGTTTTTGGAGGACGGCCAGTTGAGATAAGGTGCCCCGTCAAGATTACCCCGAATCCCGGGTATGTCAATCCTACGCTAGTCCTGCAGATTCAATTCGTGTGTCCTGAATTTCGGTGCGACTAAGATTTTGTTTGTTTCTGCGTATTTTTTTTCTTTGTCGAACTCTTGAAGCACAGTCACGTAATGATGTACTGCTGACACACATTTATGACTTTTTTGCAAAAACCAATATGCCATTTGTCGTGGCAGCCGACTTTAGTCAAAACATCCATACATTATATAACAGCTTGGCCAGCTTTCGCAAACATTGGCTGCGTTGAGGGTTTCCAATTTGCTAGAGAGAGGTTGCATAAGGAGTTGCCACCCACGTGTAGGAACGCCACACGTTTTGACTCCTTTATATTTCACCCTGCGTTCCGGAACCTTATTTCGGATATGTGGGTCGGTCCTGGTCACCTATTCTCAGATCATTCACAAATCTATGCGCGGTTCAATATCGATTCGAATACAATAGGCCCAATAGGCCCCACACCTCGCCTGTATGTACCAGCTGACTGGTCTGAACTTGAAATTGACCATCACCTATTCGAGAGATACTATATCCAAGCTGCTAATGCCCAATGCCCGTCTACTCACATTTGGTCACGGTCAAGTGCTGAGATAAAAATAGCCTTTGGCCCCAGACGATAGAATCTGCATTAGGTTTGACTTTGAGACAAATGCACCATTCCGACCCAGTTAAATTCCCAATTAAAGGCCTGGCGCCTAAATATCGAGGCCGATGCCAACCACCCAAATTTGTCAAACCCACACCAATACGCTCAATTCATCAAGATCCAACGATGGCGTACAATCCTCCAGGTGAACCCACAGCCTTGAAAACCTGTCAGAAGATACGACAAACTAGGCGTTTAGTTTCCCTATTCCGTCAGGTAAATAGATCACTTCTGCATCACCATTCTTGGCAACAGATTCCACCAGCCACTCGAGATAATTTACAAAAAGAATGGGGTCGCATTAAAGAGGCACAAGGATATGGATCCAGTTGGTCAAGTTGGATTCTTGGCTTCGAGTGCGTTTCATGCATCTCGTCATCCGTTCCGCCACTTAGTGCACTACATGTTTTGCTACAAATCACTAAGCTGAACTTGCTACTGGGCAAGGAGAACGTAACCGTAGGAATGCACATAAGCATTTGATTCAAATAGATAAGAATGATAAGATCTTTTGTTTTTAAAGCCTTACGTGACCAGGAACAAAAAGTTATTCACGGACTGCCACGTCCAGTTTCAACTTGTGCTCGTCGCCTTCGCCTGTCTAAAGGACAAATAAGCCTGCTGTTGCTCTCCGATCAGTCCTGCTGCCAAATACGGGGAGATAGAAGTGACAATCGAGTCACAGAACCAACGCATTATCGAAATTCAAAGCCCTGATCAAAAGCTCCCAACCAAAGCTACTCTTGAACAATCCCAGTATACGCAAGAAATTCATAAATTGTCCCAGGGATTTTTGCCTACTGGGCCCCCATGTGGCTCCGTGATAGTAATTATAAAGCAACCGATATCCGCGCATGGAGTGACACCTGTCGAGACTTAGCCCAAGACCTCTCTCCACAGCCGCCTGTTCCTGTTAGATGGGATGACCCAGTTCTCATACAGGAAACCATTTCCAAAATGAAACCATATAAGGCCCCCGGCGTCGACGGGTGGCGTGCTCAAGAACTCAAACTAATCCCCCGTCTGCCATACGGCATCTGGCAGACATGTTCCATGCAATTTGGGAAAGTGAGTTTAGTTCCAACCAAATGCTCGCCCTGTACTCTTGGCAAAGACCTCCTAACTGTCTACATTCTCAGATGGACGCCCTATTACCATCCTGGGTTATATCCCGAGGTTAACCTCCAGGATGATTGCAGATCAACTGCTTAGTTTCTGGGGCGACAGATGGGATCCCAAAATTGTTCGTGGACTTCCTTTTCGTGCCGTAAAGGATATAACGATGCAGCAGCAGGTTTTGATTGAACAAGCACATAAAACTAACACTCATTATGGCGGGTTTACATTGGATTTGGTTAAAGCGTTCAACCTTATCCCACGACAAACTGCCAAACTCCTTTTGACTGCATGGGGAGCCCCAGAGAATGCTGTGGGTGTTTGGATTCGTTATCTCAACAACACGTCCCGTATGTTGCACGTCAGAAACCAATATAGTTCACCAGTCCGATCAACCACTGGTGCTCCTGAAGGGGATGCTATGTTGGTCTGTGCCATGCTCGTAATTGCGGCCACTTATTTTCGTCGCATGTCCGTTATTTCAGTCACCCCATTTACTTACGCTGACAACTGGACTTTTATGTCCACAGATCAACGTTGTCTATTCCGGGCACTAGTCAGTCCCTTCATTTCGCACAGTCTTTGCGTATGAAGATTGATTTGTGGAAATCCTGGGGTTGGGGAAAGAATACGCAAATACAAAAATGTTGGAAGGATGTTGAAAACCTCTTCCCGTGGAATGATACCCATATTATAGTGAAGTTTGCTTCTCATGATCTCGGCTGTATGATGCAATATAGCAAAAGAATTGTGTTTGGATGCCTTAAAAGTCGAATTCAATCAGCCAAGCGCCGGCTATTTCGCCTTCAAAAAAAGGACCTTACCCTTGCGGACAAGGCAAGCAAGATAGGAGATTCACATTTCATTGTTCTTCGACTTTAGTGGGCGAACACAAATGTGCGTCATCCCATATTGCTCTACACTACCTGTCAGATCGAGTAATGGACCCGTTGTTATACGTAGTAGTGACAGGCCTGTGCTCCATCCGAAGATTGTTCTATTACCACCCTACCTTAGCTAACTCAATGTGGTCCGAGATAGTCTCCCATACGTCCACACAAGGACCATGTGGGGCCCTGGCCGGGCACCTGCAAAAACTACATTGAATCCCCCTTCAAGGGGGTTATATTGACATGCCAAGCAGCCATCAGCTCTGTTTACCAAATCAGTCTACCAAGGAAATCCGACTCATTTGCCGACATGCTTGGGCCACTTTTGTTTTCTCACAAGTGAGCCATCGTAAAGACATCATATCCCTTCGATGCGGCTTATACCCGAATGAAAGTTAACAAAAAGTTGTCTGATCGTGAGCTAAAACTGCCACGTTTAAACCTCACAGGAGGGTTCCAGACGTCGGCAGTTAAAGCCACATGGGACAATACTCAATCAGAAAACTGAGAATTTTGTGGACAGGTTGATTCGCATTCTCACCGCATGTTACATTCTCCCGACTTCGCGCACATTCGCTGCGCACACATGACTGCTATTGAGCATCTACAACAACATCCGCATTTAATGTGGTTCCCTTTAGCTACAGTCCATCCCCAAGAAGTGGCTTACCAGCGACTAAAACTGAACGGTACTGGCCCGTTTCTTGAACCGGAGTATGATACATCAGTAGATCGTCATGTTCTTATTACAGATGGAACATGCGATCGGCCTAAGTCCCAAAACTGTTGCAGGGCAGCTTGGGCAGTTATCCGCCAGGTGTGTTATAACCCCCGAGACCCATCTCTTCGATCAAGACTTTGAGGTCTTTCAAACGTCCCATGTGAGTGGCAACCAATCCATCAACCGCGGAGAATTGGAAGCAGTGGCCTGGACCTCGCTTCTATTCTCAGCAAATTCAACGACCATTCATAGATCTCTATACCGATTCGCAATTTGTTGTAAAGATAGTGGAGGCCATTGAGAATCAGAACTTCAATCATAGAACGCACCAAATGGCACACTGTGATCTCGTAACACAACTTAAAACGACGTGGGACCCTTTCCACTTTCGCATCCTTAAGGTCAAGTCCCACCGATCATTTTTTAATGATACGGCGACCACCGAGATCTACACAATCTTGGGTAATATGCTTGCCGATGAGACAGCTAAAGTCACTAACCGACAAGACCTCGACGTCTTGTTGAGTATTACTAACAATATTGACCATCATTGCCAAGCTCAACAAGAAGTTTTACTCGACATCTATCGTTATCTAGTTGACCTCAACGCGCTACACTCCAAGATCCGTCTTGGGAAAGATAAATCAACCGATGGTGATGACACTATCGGAAATATAGATGAGATTGCATCCTAGCTATTAGTAACAAGTGCATCGCTAGTAGTAACAAGTGCCTTACTAGCAGTAACAAGAAGCTACTAGGGGCTCCTGGCCTTACTAGTAGTAACAAGGACGCTAGTAGAAACAAGTGCATCGCTTCTAGGAACAAGCGTTATTCCTTGTCAAATGGGTTGTGTCCAGTCCCACCTGCAGCATGTCTGGGGATCTGTTGCCGGTGGTCGCCCACGCATGTCCGGTTTCTTCTACGCTATGGCTATATGGGAGTTCTGTTCTCACCTTACGTGGCGACATCCTGACCTCTCCCTTGATAAGAATGACTTTGGCATCACATGGTGCGAATTAACGGTTCATTTTACGATTTTTGCCGGAAAATGTCTTCCAGTTTGGGTACACGATTCGGACAAGGGTTATGCAGTCCCATACGGTTTTTTCTCGGATTCGATCTTATGACAAAAACCTGAATTTCGTAGTCTTGCTCACCAGACATCAGCATTCCGAGCAGTAGTCCGTTATCTCGAAAGTACAGGCAAGACAAACCTTTATCCACGGAAAAAAGACAGGGGCAAGTTCACTTGTTCGTCTTGGTTTTCACCGAAGTCTCATGGGCGGAATCGCCACAAGACCTAATTTGCCACAAAATGAACTAGCCTGTGCCCTGCTTAATGATTATGCCTCTCTTGCCGGTCAACCATATCCGAAAAACGTTCGAGTTCCATTTCAACCTCGCTTGGATTGCCGCGCGATAAAAGACACAACCTTTACCAGCGCGTTAAGAAGTGTCTTCGCCTTCAACAAGATCTCTCTTTGCTCTCTTGGAACACATAAATTAGATGCATTACGGCCACTTTGTTCGTGGTAATTCGTAGATGACATGGACTGTGTCTTATACCGGTCTTTTGTATTACACATTCACGCTTGCACGTTTTGTGCTTTCTTTTCTGAGTGTGAACACCTACCTTAGAGTACCCCACGAAGTGGAAGGGCTGTTAGGGGCGTGACATGGATCAAGTCCGCAAGTTTGTGTGTGTGATATGTGAAATTGTTTGTTCGAGTGATTCGAGTGGATGAGGTTTTCTCATTCCCGTTGGTACCAGAGTGGTACCAGAGTGGTACCAGAGTCACCATTTACTTCGTTGGGTCATCCTTTGTCGTGCACGACGTGACCAGCCCCGTGGTTCGGTTGTAGTTCTGAAGAAAGTGCAAGATACTCCTTTCGCCAAATGCATTTTATATTTGGCTGTATTTTATATGGCCTTTGTCTAATAAAGAGTCTTCGCGAGACTTCCTTCGTCTCCCAGCGTTCCTAGCGGTCCGCTTCAGTGACACGTGTCCAGCCCATTGCCCGAATCGACCCAAATCGGCCAGATTCGGCTTCGCGCAGGATATTGCCCTGAGGACGAAGCGGTCTGGGTGACCGTGGAGGGTCAGAGCTTCTTCCGGACCCGGGATTTGGTGCAGCTTCTGGACGGAGGCCCACAAGGGAGGTGAGGGGCTGACGTGGTGAGATCTGGACGAAGGCTTCACACAAGCTATAAAGCAATGGGGCTCTTTGTGTTAGATCCAAAACAGTGCACCGTTTGAGACGGTGAAACACGTGGAATTGGAGGTTGGAGGCCATCGCTATCAGTAACAAGAAGCTACTCCAGTAGAACGGTAGTATATAGCTAGATTTCATGAGGGCCTTCTGAGTAGTTCACCTAAGGGCGCTGTGTCAGGAGGGGGGAGAGTGGTTCACGTTTTCCAGACACGTTGGTGTTGGGAACAAAAAAGGGCTCCAAAACCACCTGTTGCGAGACTCCCAAAGCCCATCCTTCCAAATTCGCAGCACTTTCGAGTAATCGCGCTGAAGAATGAATAGCTCAAGAGAAAAGCGTCCTGATGTGCAGGAGATGGAACCCCATGTCCAACATCGGGAGAGGAAGATGTGCCCAGACTCACACCAGATTAGACTTCGCGGATCGACCAAAACCGGGACCCTCGCCACAGGGGCCTTAATTTTTCCGGCACGTCGTCCATTCGTTCAAGGACGAAACGAATTCGGCCGCGGCTGAATTCGGTGGGGCTCCTTTTGCGTCGAAAGAGCACCACCGACGGAAGAACCGGCTGCGGCCAAAGCGACGGACGCTGCGGCCTTCGAGTCTTCAACAGCGCTGGCAAAAAACAAACATGGTGCAGTGAGGGAGGTGAAGTGAACCGGCAAATTGAGCTTCTTGTTACTAACAAGGGCATTACTACTAGTAGCAAACAGCTACTACTAGCTATTTGCTACTAGTAGTGATGCCCTTGTTACGAACGTAGCGATGTCCTTGTTACTAGCAATCGCCTTTGGAAATCATATGAAGAATACACCAGGTCTTTCCCCTTTGAGGTCAAATCACACCTCAAGTCGACTCGACCAACGGCGACCGGTGACCCACGATCGAGCTGCGACGAGGTGATGGCCGCTTCATCTACCATGGACGCAAGGATCGCGCGGCTCGGCGGACCAGCCGTGTGAACTCGGCAGAGCCAGGGCAGAAAAGAAGTAAGGTCCCCAAAGAGAAGGGGGAGGAAACTGTTCGCGTTTGGGGGTGATCCTCCACTTGTCCTTCTGTTTTTGGGTGTTTGTCTTTTTTTCTGACCGGGTTGAAGTCAAATGGTCCGGGGGGTCCACCTTTCTTCGCAGATCTGTTGCTTGGGGAATTTTCTGTGGCATTTCAGTGGCCACGCTGGTGACCTTCTTCGGTCACAGGTGTCACGGAGCGTTGGAGCGTGCGTTGGAGGTTCACCAACTGATGGCCGCCAAGCTACTAGCGATGGCCTCAAACCTAAGATCATATCAGATCTACGGTGTTTGGCCAAGTGTCACACCTGGGACGTGGCGCATGTAGTGTCACACCCTGGTCGGAACCCTCTTCGGAACCATGCATCAGAACCTGTCGGTGGTCGGAACCCATTTTGAACTGAAGACGGAATGAACTACTGCCATTTGTTCCCTTCATAGCGTCCGATCGCTTCTAGAGCCCCGATTGTAGCGTCCTCTTCTTCCTAGTAGCGATGCCCTTCTTGATACTACCCCAAAACAACATGCCAATGTGTTGGGAACCTCATGAAGCCTTCACGTTGACCCCGATTGTCCAGTTTCGTTGGGAGACTTTTGTTTGGCCTCACCTTCCAAGCTCATCCCCCCCCAAAAAGACGCCGGCATTGGGAATAGTAGCTTCTTGCTCCTAGTAGCTATACTTGCTCCTAGTAAGGCCAGGAGCCCCATAGTAGCGTCCTTGCTCCTAGTAGCGATGCCCTTTGCTACTAGTAGCGATGCACTTGTTACTAGTAGCAATTTGATATAGTGCTTCTTTGGTCATTCTTGGTGGACCTCACCTGGAGTCTCCCGGATTGAGAAAAGACTAGTCCCTCGGAGTCCAGTGGATGATGTTGACAAAGGATGTGCTTCACAAAGACCCCCAAAGGCATGACCTTTACTTCAGTGGTGCCACATACAAACGGACTTCTAAAGCTCGATCAGAGCCCTATCGCCCCGCTTGCGAGGCCACAAAGTGGCATGGTCAATGGCTGGACTTGGCCCAGTTGGAGAAAAGGATCCAAGATTTGGCGCCTTGGAGCGGTTTCTTTCGGCAGAGTAAGCCTCCAAAGGAGCGCAGATTTGTGCAACCATCTTCCCTGAAGTGTTCAGCTCCTAGACTCGGGTCGCCTCGGACCTCGAACCATTCTCGCCGCACGTGTGGCTGTTCTTCTGTAAAACTCGTTTCTTTAATTTCTTTTTTGGGAGTGTGTTTTTGATGTGTTTTGTGATTCCCCACCTGTCAGGTGAGGGCTGGATTTTAGAAGAGGAACCTGCCTGCTCCTCCTCTTCCCACAGCGCCGCGTCTGACCTGCCACACTCTGTGCCGATCAGGAGGGTGTGCGCGAAGCGTGTTTGGTGGAGCACGGCGCCGAGCTGCACGTCTTCGGCGTCCTGCAGTGCTCGCACCGCGCGGCGGAGCTGCCCCGGCAGATGCAGACGCTCCAGACGTGGCCTGGAGATGCCAGGGGGAAGGGCATAACGAAGGACAGGGTTCCAAATAAAGCGTTCTTGTTACTAGTAGCAAGGCCAGGAGCCCCCTAGTAGCATCCTTGCTCCGTTCGTACCAAACCTTTGAACATCTGGCAATGAAGAATCAACGTGGGTTGGGTCTTCTGTCTTTGAAGTCGGGGCATGAGGTTTTGTTGGTTGTTTCTACGTGTTACATGCAGATTCGTGACGGCCATTTACCATAGCTGGCTACCAAATGTTACTTGACTGCTCACTTTCTGACGTATACAACATTTCTTAATGGTAATATACGTATCTCTTCCGTTTTGAGCCAGTTTGGTCTCGCTCAGGTTGCGCCAATTGCTGCCTTGGCCACTGGGCGCAAGGATCGGGCTGGGGGCCACCTGGTTGACCTAATTGCTGCGCTGCAGCCATCGAGCCAGACTGAGACATTGGTTGCTTGCTCCTTCGTAATAGAATTTCCCGAACCTTACATGTCACTATTTTAGAAGAGAGATGACCTGAAGACTCACCCCGAACTGAGCCCAACTAACCGCTTAGGAGCCCAAACTCAAACATGTCACTATCTTGGAAGATAGGCACAGCTATTGACCCTAATGGAGCTAGAGTATGGATTCAGAAATTCAAGGGGAGGCAGGAACCTTACATGTCACTATCTTAGAGAGAGAGAGGACCGAACTAACCGCTTTGGAGCTCAAACCCTTGCACGTCACTTTCTTAGAAGGAAGACGCAGCCCCGGAGACGGACTCAATTGAGCAGTGAGGAATCATGCAGGAACTCTATGGCAAGTGGGAGGCAGAAACTGTAGGAGCCACCACTGTGAAGGTTTTGCCAATAGCTTGCATGTTGAGGGTTTCCCACAGCCTTTTGATGTACTTGTTATTTGCAGGGTCCGGGGTGCCATTGCTTTTGATTAAATAATCAATTGGCTTTTCTCTTGTTTTTTGAATGTGATTGAATTTGATAAATACACTACTTTTCTCTGTGTTTCCGATGAATGTGAGACCGACCGCATCTTTGTTTTTTCGCTCCGTCCGGCGATCATTCTTCTGACACTTTTCAAGCTGATCTTAACTTTACAGGCGAGAGTGCGTTTTGGATTTGGCGCGGGCGACCCTATGCGGAGATCGTGCGTGTCGAGGGTGCAAAATGCAGGTGAGATTGCGTTTTGGCCCGGTCCGGCGCAACCCTCTGCAGAGATCGTGCGTGTCGAGTGCGCGAAATGCAGGTGAGAATGCGTGACTTGGCGATTGACTTTTGGAGGAAGTCTCGTACGAAACGCTCGTTTTGGAGACTTGGCGCTTCACTTGTGGAGCTGGACTCAGGAGTGGCCAGATTGTAGTGCAAATGTAGTGCGGGAAAGAGCTTTTCGGAGCTGGACTCAGAAGTGGCCAGTTTGTAGTAGCTTTTCGGAGGTGGAGTCAGAAGTGGCCAGTTTGTAGTACAAATGTAGTACGGGAAAGAGCTGGCTTTTTGGAGCTGGACTCACAGCTGGCCAGTTTGTAGTACAAATGTAGTACGGGAAAGAGCTTTTTGGAGCTGGACTCAGAAGTGGCCAGTTTGTAGTACAAATGTAGTACGGGAAAGAGCCTTTCGGAGCTGGACTCAGAAGTGGCCAGTTTGTAGTACAAATGTAGTACGGGAAAGAGCCTTTCGGAGCTGGACTCAGAAGTGGCCAGTTTGTAATACAAATGTAGTGCGGGAAACAGTTGCGTCGCAATACCATGCGGATTTGCGCGGCCTTGGTGGAAAGTGCGTTTGCGTGGCGCCGTGCCACTGGGGAGCGCGAAACATGCTGGCATAAACGCGGCGTGTTGCTGGTGAGCGAGATGATTGGCGGTATCGTGTGATAGGATGGCTTCTAGTGTGTGGGCAGACCGTGCGGCGAATTACGTCCGTGATGTCGATGTCGCAGTGCCATGCGGATTTGCGCGGCCTTGGTGGAAAGTGCGTTTGTGTGGCGCTGCGCCAGTGGGGAGCGCGAAACATGCTGGCGTAAACGCGGCGTGTCGCTGGTGAGCGGGATGATTGGCGGTATTGTGTGATAGGATTGCTTCTAGTGTGTGGGGAGACCGCGTGGCAAAATTATGTCCGTGATGTCGCGGTGCCATGCGGATTTGCGCGGCCTTGGTGGGAAGTACGATTGCGGATCTGCGTTTTCTCACTCATTTCACTTGGAAGATCTTCTCTCTTAATTCTTATATCCTCTCATCTTGTTGCGTCTTGTTCAACACCTTCATATCCAAAATTCAAAACCTCTGCTACATCTGCTCACCTCCTCTACGCCACTTGTTCCTGTCATCACATCTTCTCACAGATCTCACTTCATATCTACTTTCTCTTCTCCTTTCTTCTCACCTCTTCTTGTATCTTCTTCACCACTTCTACATTCTAAATCATTAGAAACTAACATTCATGTTCTACATCTACAAACTTAACATCTACATCTTTTCTTTTTCTCGCTCTCGGGCCACCCGTCGTCTAGTTTCTAGGTCTGCCTTTCTCTCTAGAGGCTTTTTAGGTCTGTAACCAGGCTTATTAGTCAAGGGCTAGGTAGTCAAGTCAAGGGCTAAGTAATCATTAGGAGTAGAACCTAAGTATTTTCAAAGCTGGTCTACTGCGTTCTTGCCTTCTTAAAGAGTCAAGTCTTTCTCCACTGCGCGCCACAATGCGGCGGGCTGTGTGTGTCCCACCCTGTATCTAAGGGACTTTCTGAATACTACTTTAAGTGCAGGGGACCAGGCAGGACATCGAAGCTGGCGATGTATCTGAGGATATCGAAATGCGACGCCCTTTCCACGTTCCTGCTTAAACCTATGTCTGTCGGTTCCCTCCTTTCTTTTTCCCTTCTCTACCCTAATGTGGTGATTCGCCAGTCTCGCCCCCCTAGCTAAACAGGAGGCTTCCCGTTTCCTTTTCTAGCTACCAAACAGGAGGCTCTATTTCCTTTCTACCTACTCCTTTTGAACCTACCTCTCTATGCACGCCGTTAATTCAAGAGTGCTTCGTACGCAGTAACTAATTTCCGGAGCTTTCTGAAAACATTGCTAAAACATCTTCACTTTCGCTGACCCAGCCGTCTTGCCGTTCCTGCATTCATTTCTTCGTAGATTACCTCATTGAATGAAACTCTGTCAAAGTGTGTGAAACTAGGAGAAAAGTCATTTACGTTAATCAAGTTGAAGTCGCTTGAACGATGGTCATGCGTCATGAGCTGGCTTGACTGACGCAGCTTTGAGGCCAGGGTCGACAGCCTTGGCTCGAGCTTAGTGTCTACAATAGCACTGACAGAGCAAGTTGACACAGCGGACGCGAGCGCGAGTAACACAGGCATCGCGTAGAACCACCTTTCAATTTTGGTGGGAGGGCGCCTCAAGCGTCTGGTGCGCTGCTTCTTTCACGCCGTGTGTCAATGGACGAGGGCCGTCTGCAAATGGAGCTCTCTAGCCAAATTTCAGGGAAGCCGCTGGCCACAGTTATGCTGCCCCACCGCACCAACAAGGTCAATGTGGCCAGCCTGCAGCGGCGCGCAATGCGGGCGTGCTTGCACGCGAACTTGCTGCACTCCAGGAATCAAAGGCTCTACCTGTTTTTGGATGATTCCTGGTTGAGCAACCAGGCTGCCCTGGTTTGGGCGCGGATCTTCGCAACGCATCCGCCAAAGAGGCGGCTGGTGAAGAAGACAAACCTATCGAAGTTTCGCCTCGAAAGACAACTGTGCTGGCTGAGAGGCGGCGCCAACGCTGCGACGGCGCATGACGCCGTGGACACCTGATTCACTGGCTTCTGTCATCCGTCAAGATTGCGGTCCTGATGTGCTTCAAAAGTAGCATCTGAACGAGCGAGCTCGGGAAGTGAAGCAGCTGCATGGGGTGGACAATCGCATCAGGACGCCAGTTGGTTGCTGTAAAAATCATACCTGGATCTTCCAACGAATACCAAAGTGTTTGCCGAACTTGGCTGGTTTTATAGATGAAGTTCGGCAGAAATGTTGTACAGTCGTTGGAAGATCCAGGTATGGATTGATCTGAGGATTTCACCGGGTGGAGCCGCCCAATGACTGAGAGGGCCGTCAAACGTAGCAGTTCAGTGAAAGGTGAACCAAAATGCGGTCATTCCACCTGCCAACCTCAGGAACCCATCATTAATTCCTTCATGTTAACCTTCCAACAAAAAGAGACGAAACGCCACCTCCGACCACGCTGAACAGCACCGTCGACCCTCCGGCTCCGATTCGTCGAAGGCCCTGCGCCGTGCACCTGCGGCAGCGGCTGCCGCGCAGCGCAGCGGGGAAGATGGACGTCCAGGCGCTCGAGGCCTGGGGGCACTGACTGTGGAAGGGAGGTGGAAGAAGGACCTCTCGGTGTGTGTGTGTGTGTGTTTCTTACACTGTCGCTTTGTGGAAGCCTGAAAAGTGATGAACAGTGACCTGTAAACCCTTTGGGGGGAGAAAATGGGGAGAACCCGGAGGATATAGAATCTCTATTTGTTCGAAAGGGAAACTGAGGCGGCTTGGTGGGAAATAAACTGCAATGGGTGGTGTGATGGGTGATAGTTTATTCGGGTGGATGAAGGGATTTGTTCGTGCTTCAAGGGTGTGGGGGGGGCCATTGATATAGTTAAAAAATACATTTAGATAATTCTCCTTGTTAACTCAATTGGCGCGTTCATCCGGCGTTTTTTGGTTCAGCAAACACTCAGAGTTTCACCCCTGGGATTCCAACAGCCATTGTTTTAATTGTTTTTACCAAGAAAAATTAATGGGCCTTGGATTTGTCTATATAATTGGTAAGAACAATTACAACCGTGGTAAGAACTCTTTAGGCTACAATTGACGGTGTTTGCTTACTAAGAGCTTTAGACTACAATACCAAGTCAGGAATTCTATTACTTGTGTTTGACGGCTAGGGACACCTTTTCCCTTAGTTTCCTCGCAGCCACTCCCCCGAAGGAGTAACCTGCAGCTGACAGATGAATAAGAGTTGAGATTCTGTTGCGATACCTGACATGCCTTCCACAAGATACTACAGATCCGAAGATGCCAGCATAGACTCCAGGACCGTCCTGGTTTGTGGGAAACAATAATCGGTGGAGCCTGGCTTCTGGGGTTTGTGCTTGTTGCAGCCAACAGAAACTTCCTTGCAAACCAGTGCGAACCTGTTGCAAACTCCTGTGCCCTCGTGGGAACAAAGCTGCTTTCGTCATGTCCTCCAAGAGTTCTAGTATCATCATGTATTTTGGACATGCTATCGATGCTCAATGTGGATGAGACGATCCCTGCTTGTTTCAGTGCGCCCACTGCCTGAGGGATGTCAGCTATTCTTCTTATCCACACACAGCTCTCCAAGAATGACACGGCACCCATGGCGTCTTCAGCTGTACCGATCGGGAAGAGGTGCACCGATCGGGACGGAAGCGACTTGAACCACCAGGGGCCTCCCAAATCCTCCTGTTTTTTTTCTCGCCAAACCTTTTTGGGCAAACCTTTTTTGGTTTGGACCTTTCATTCGGGGTCTCCTGGCAGGTCCATAACTGCGTCGTCCAGACAGGGCACCCCTTCTTGGACCACGACCATCTGGTTCGCACACTTGACAGGCCAGCCGCCCACCCCGCAGGCAAGCTTGACCTCATGCGGAGCTGCCACCGCCAAAGAAGCCGACGCCCAGCGCTTCGGGCAAACCTGCCGCCAGGGGCTCGGCGGGTTTCGGTGCTTTTTGGAGCGGAACGGGCAGCGGTTGGAATGGAATCTTACGATGGAAAGGGCCGTTACGTCTGTGGATCTGGTAGTCTTTTCTCTTTGCTGCATTGCGTGAGAAATCTCAAATTGAAGCATGTCATTTGTTGGGGATGGTTCCGTGGGACAAGAGATTATGCAACAAGTTCATTGCATATCGACCTTCAAAACCGAACTTGAGATCTCAGGTTTTGAGATCACTTAATGGAGGCCGTAGGCCTGTAAAAGGTCACTTAATTAGGGACTCAGTCATGAACCTGGTTTATGTTGGACCTGACATTGCAAGGCCGGTCCCACTTCCCAGAGCCCATCGCGCAGACATCCCAATCAGGCGCTTGAAGCCAAGCCAAGAATGGATGTGACCATAAACCTAGGTTTTGGCCGCCTTTGACACTGGGGCTGCAAAATGCTCTCTTCAGATGGCCAGACGTAGCCTGACGCGTCTTCTTACTGACGGGTACCGTGAAAAGCGGGTGTTCCAAGCCGCCGTAAGCGCCATGAGGCCTTCCCTTGCTGTTACGAAGGGGACATGACCATGGAGTTGCCACAAAAACAACGTGGCGCTGAGGTCGCCATTTGGGTCTCATGCTTGGCGCCCTGCTGCTGACCCTCAATGGGGAGGCCCTTGCACCTCAGCTGCAAGCGCCAAAAGATTCATCAGGAGTCTGAAGGCACGGGTTTTTTGGATTCCTTTTCTGCTTTCAAGGACTTTTTGGTCGCAGGTCAGGCTTTTTTGGCGCTCCAGGTTTCCAACAAGGAACGATCCAACATCGCCTACCCGCGTGGGCGGAGTCCTGCAGTCGGCCATGCGAGTGGCGGTCCCGAGGTGCACTGGATGGTCCGCAGACGAGGCAGAATCCAATGGCTGAGGCCTCTCAGCTACTTGGCGGTGCAGTCAGAACGCGAGGAAGGCCCCGTGGGCCTTGCGCCTGCGTGGCCAGGCACCCTGCCGCCATGATTTAGAAGCACCCAAATTTTTGTTGGGGGTCTTCAAGACGAAACTATCCAGTCATATATACGTCATCAGCGTGGAGAGCCTCAACTGCTTGGAGGAACCAGGACTCACATCGGATTTGTGGATGGTGAGGGTGAATGAAACAAGTTGAATTACCAGCAAAGCCTCCTAACTGAGGTGAGCTGTTCGGGTGGCTTCCCGTTTCTATAACCCGGTCCCGAAACTCTACCTGTCAAAGCATATCATACCCTGCTTAAGGACTTCATGATGTATTTCAATGTTGTTTGGAGATGAAACTATAGGTTTCTAAAGTCTTCTAAAGTAGGTAAGATCGTTGTTTGTTGTGTTTCTTACATGCACATTTTATCGCATGTTTTGTTGCTGTAGCCAAAAGAATACGAACCATACATTGCTTCCAGGTACGTTCCTCTGGTATATGCACTTGCGCAAGAGATCTGCATGATAACAGAAGCGCCTCTCGAAATGACCACCTACTTAGTCCGTCGATCCGCCGGTCCGTCTTCCGAATCGAAGGTCCGGTGTTCGGTTCCCCACTTTTGCCCTCATCCTGGCCATTGGTCCGGTTCCTTGGTCACCTGCGTTGGCCCACAATGGGCCAGGTGTGTTGTTTTGCACCGGAAAGGGCTCAGACACCGATCAAGATCGGTTCTGAAAGCAAAAGCGTACACATGCAGACTGGGCGAGTTTTCAGAGAAAGATACGATGTTGAGCAATTGATTTGAGATCGCTAATGATGGATCCACTCCAACCTACACGTTTCCCATGGTTTCTGCAGTTACAGGGGTCGGACCCCACTCTTGCGAAGTCTTCCACACCCGAGACCTGTGCAGAGTATGGTCCCTACTTCCCAAGGCCTGGCATTTGCTTGGCTGGCGCTGGCCTACGGGGACTCGGCGGAAAGGCCCGGGCCCTTCTCCAGGCGCGCCGACTGGGGGCGCAAGGGCCAGGCGCCAGGCCCAGTGGGAGGGAAGAATCTGAGACCATCGATGGTGACGGTCGATGAAAAGTCAGAGCCAGTCCCAGGTGGTGAACTCGGTTTTTGGGAAGATGAAAGGATTTTCAGGGAATGAAGGGAATGTAATAAAGAGCAGTCCCATCATTTTCAGGGAATATAATCCTTTCATCGGTTCTTTCTCGGAAGATTTTCCAGTGTGAGGACCAAATTCACGCACTGTATGCCTGGGCTCAACAACGAAGGACCACATCGTTCCCATTTGGTCCTTTTCTCCAAACAGATGATCCCAAGTGGCAGGTTGGGGGTCCTATTGGTCCTTCATGCGCGACTTGGCAAGACGGAACTGGATGACGGGACATGTGCCATGACGGTTGACGGTTAGTGGATGTGGGGGCACATATTTAGCGCCAAGCCCCATGATAGATGAAGATGGCTGCTGAGCACTGGTGCCACTCCCACCACCTTTGAGTCTAGCAGAAGGCAAGGCCTGGGCATGCGAGAGTTCCGTCATTCGTCACGGATGTGTTTAAATCCATGAATAGTCGGGAATGATTTTCTCGCTTAAAAGCATCCATGCAGAAATTGGGATCAAGAATTTCCCAGGGTGTGGCCATCAATTTGAGTTTAATTCTGCATTGAAGGCGGCCATCTTTTTCACCATCTTGCTGGGTCTTGGGAATCGAGAAAGGGAACGAAAACAATTTAGATTCTTCAGGTTGGGGGGCCATCGCTACTAGGAGCGATCGGACGCTAGGGGCTCCTGGCCTTACTACTGGTACTATAGGAGCAAGAAGCTACTAGGAACAAAGGGCATCACTATGAACGGAGCGATCGGACGCTACTAGGTGGAGGCCATCGCTAGTAGGTGTCTCCATGCAAATTGAAGAACACCGCTGGTGGTCTTCCGCTCCCGCTTCTTCGCCGAACTCGCGGTGTCGTCCCATCAAGGCACCCCACGCTGCCGCGTACGGCCGCGAGCATCTCTTCCTCCTGAGGCTCCCCGGTACTGCCATGCGTCAGCTCCGCTGGGCGCTGGCGCTGGGTGGCCTCCTCTTGGCGCGGCGTGAAGGGCGGGCGGCCAGCTGGCCGCTGGCGAGCCCGGCAGATTGTCGGGGGGGAGGAAGGACGGAAGTGAGTCGAGTCATGTGGACCCAACGAGGAACTGAAGCTGTTTTGGGGTGGTAAATGAATGACCTGGAGAACGGATCTCTGAAATGTAGTTGCTTTCTTTTTGTCGGTGCATGTTTTTGGCATGTTGTTTTATCTTACTTGGACTGGTGAGGCAAGAACTCGAAGAGAAGACAAGCCATTGTTTTACACTCCGAGCAAAACTGGAAGTGGAGTGAGTGAAAACCACCTCTTTGGTCCTAGTAGATTCCTTTGCTAGTAATTACAATTCTAATTAAAATATTTTTGTTACTAGTAGTAAGGCACTTGTTTCTAGTAGCTTCTTTGTTACTACTAGTAAGGCACCTGTTACTACTAGCGTGCACTTGTTCGAATTTCATGGTTACCCGAGTCTTCGGGGCCATGCCTTTACGTAACCGTGATTGGTTCCGGCATTGCAAGGGCAATGGATCTACTTTGGGGGTATGTGATATGAAATGTATTGAAATGTGTTTTCTTTTTTGGACATAGATCATCCCTTATGTACGGAACTCACGAGCACTATGGCTATTGGTTCAGCTTCATCATCAAGAGGTTAAATGATCACTTAGAAAGAACAAGCACGTCTTTCTGACAGCCGTGTCTATAGCCATTTGGGTGGTGAGGGACTCGAGAGGAAGGTAAGATTCAGGATCTTCCTGAGCCTGACCCTGATTTTGTCTACTTCTTCAACACCTGCAAGATTCTCATCAAAGCTCTTGCCATTGGGACCTGCTAAAGTTGTTTATTTAAGAGTTTGGATGATTACAGGATGATGGCTCCAGATTTCCTGGGCTGCTGCTCATGCATCTAGTTTTGGTCGCGTTTGGTTCGGCACACCCACGTCGATGGGCGTTGCTTGTCCTGAAACTTTGACCCGAAATGAAGATCTCAAGGAGTCTCTCTGGGGAGAGGCCAATGAGGCCGAAGCTGAAGACTCCCGGCTTTGGGCCATGCAGAGCAGGTCTTTTGGTGTGGCATTGGCACATCACTCGACTTCGAACTCACGAGCGCCTTCCGACATGGCATGCTCTACGGGCTGCTGAGGCGCCTCCTTGCTTCGCACGTTTCAAACGTTGTGAAACTATACCTACTAGCGATGGCCTCCAATCTATCAGCGATGGCCTCTATGCAAGAGAAACCAAATTATACCTAGAGGATTCGAAGATCCTTTCGACAAAAGTTCTTGCACGAGGTTCTAGAGATATATGTACATATTTGTGGACAACCACAGGTGATTGGAACACCAAAAAAGAAATCGACAGTCCAAAGAACCGTGCCTTTTGGCGTCCGGTGGTGTTTTGGCGTCCAATCCATCCGAACCGGAAAAACACACGGCGATGGTGGCGAGCCGCGAGCGGCCCAGTGGCAGAACAAAAACATCATTTGGATACTAAAGGGCATCGCTACTAGGAACAAGGACGCCATACTACTAGGTGCAAATAGCTACTAGTAGCGTTCTTGCTCCTAGTAGCGATGCCAGGAGCCCCTAGTAGCTTCTTATTCGGGTTCTGTTAGAGTCTGTTTCAGCAATGGCCTCCACCCTAATTGCAATGGCCTCCCACCTAGAAGGCAGTGGGTCAAAACCGCTTCCACCCAACCACGGAAGGTTGACATCCCTGAAAAAATAGAGGAATCTGTGCATTTGACCCGGGGTCAACCAGGGTGCCCCGGTTTTGATCCACTTCCATTTGACCCCAAAACCGGCCACTCTGACTTGAGGGAAACCATGGCAATTACACATCGGAAACCTGTTTTTGGGGCGAGATACGGATCGCAAGTTGGCTGCGGGGAAAACCATGGCAAAGTATGGCAATTGCCTCCCGATTTGCCGCACGAAGTGTGCGACCGAAGTGGCTTTTTCCAGTGGACTCCGTTTAAGAGTTTTCTGGGCGACTCAGCACGAGGAGGCTACCAGGGGCTCCTGGCATCGCTACTAGGAACAAGAAGCTACTAGGGCTCCTGGCCATACTACTAGGAGCAAGAGTACGCTACTAGGAGCAAAGGGCATCGCTACTAGGAGCAAGGACGCTACTAGTAGCTCCTGGCATTTCTACTAGTAACAAGAAGGTACTAGTAGTACATAAGAGTCTTCCATCCGCCAACGTCCCAAGCTTCCACTAGGCACGCACGCTGGAGCGCCGACTGGCTGAATGAGGCGAGTCATGCATGGTCCATGCGGCTCGTGATGACGATCGTGGGACAGTGCCTGGTGGAAGGATGAACTCCGCTGGCTTGAGCCGACAGCCAACAGCACTAGGAGCAAGGACGCTACTAGGGGCTCCTGGCCGTACTACTAGGAGCAAGAAGCTATTAGAAACAAGAAGCTACTAGGGGCTCCTGGCATCGCTGTCAGCCGAAATAGGGGAAAAAAGACTGCATGGGCGTGGGACAACAGTGTCCTTCCCGTGGGCAACCTTCCTTTAGATTTGCTGTGCGTAAATGGTATGAGTTGGACCATGTGAAACATCAATGTCCAGGTTGAATGTGCTTTGCCGAGTTCTTTGTGCAGGAAACTCTCCCCAATCACCAACTGATGGCACTCCAGCTGACAGGATTGCCAGCTGAAGATACAACCAGACAATAAACCGCCTGCCTCCAAAGATCAACTCCGCGCGATCGATTCCTTCAACAATATTTTGAAAAGATGTGTGAGAGCATCAAGCCCTGCCTTTGATAGTAGTGGTGGTAAAAGGAGTAGGAGTAGGAGCAGCAGTAGCCTGTAGCCTGGCTTTGAACCCGTCCAATCCCTTGACTGGCTTTGAGCCCTGCACCTGTCCGCCCAGGCCATCCATCAGCTGCTGAGCCGCGCCACGCCGCCTTTTGCCTTTCGCCTTTCGCTCCTCCGTCGCCAGCGTCGCCGCTGGGGAACGACCTCGAGGAGCACGAGCTGCCAATGGGAAGAGCTGCTCGGAAGAGAAAAGGGTTCTCCGTCACCACCGGAGAATTGAAATATGTTTTTGCAGATGTTGAAGATAGACCACACCGTACAATATTTAAAAACAAATATATATATATATATATCCTGCCTTGGACACCTCGTGGTTTCATCCTTAGGCATCTCCGTGTCCACTCTTACCGCACAGTAAATCCCTGCTCGTGTCGCCCGCCTTGCTGCGGTTCTGCACGCAGGCTGAAAAGAATCAGCTACTCTCCCTGCAACAATCATGGCCTACTAGGAGCAAGGGCATCGCTACTAGGAACACCGACGCTACTAGGGAGTGGACAATCCCCTCTTGAGGAAAATACTCTTCCTTTCGGGACCAGAACGTCCACGTAACCATGATCCGAGGGCGCGTAAGATGACTTGAAAGGCGGAACTTCTATTTCCATGCTAGCTTCTTGTTACTAACTGCGATGGCCTCCAAGTAGAAAGGCCCTTTGCTACCAATAGCCTAGCTTCTTGTGCTACCTTTGGTGTACTCAGTGCTCCGTCCGACTTCCCAAGCTTGCGCCAATCAACCTTAGGTGTCCTTTGCAATCAGGAGGTTGTTTTGGAACATCAAATATCACCCAGGAACTCAGAAAACACTTTTCAGAGGCGCCAGGGGGGCATAGCAAGGTATCCCAAGAGTGAGCGCGACCAACTGTACTACGACCAGTGGATTGCACAAAGCCTGGAGAAAGCCGAGGCCAGGCACGTCGCTGTGGAGTATGCACCACCCGTTCGATGAGCGTGTCGGACATGTTTGCACAGAACTAGGCTTAAGCAAGAACAGAAATCGGCTTAATTCATCCTTGCTCACCAAACCTCATCCTCACTCCTCTTCTCAGTGTCCTTTTCCATCCTCTTTCCATCCATTCTATTTCGGCGCTGTGCCGCCGTTCCAGGCCCCTGCAGCGCCCGCGCCTGGCCTGCCGGGCCCGCGTCGCGCACCGCCCGCGCCCACGTCCGACGATGCGATCGCGGTGACGTTCTCACGGGGCGCCGTGGACGCTGGGCGAGCCCCGGAGCCGCGTCCGATCGCTCCGAGTACGGCCAGGAGGTTCTACGTTCGGTTCGCATCCTCTTGTTACTAGTCTGTTGGGAGACTTGGGGATTCTCACGTTTCCCATCCTTTTGTTTTGCATTCTTTTGCGCGCGACCGATTCATTTATCTCGCGCGCCAGTTGCCATCATCAACCGTGGAGACTTTGGGTTTGAAACATTGGCCTGTCACGCACCCGCTGAAATACTCAGGCTTCAGGGTTTACTTGGGGCTCTTCTTTTTCACTAAGCTTTCCTTTGGACTTGTGGCATTGAGACCAAGCACAGAATTTCCCGCGTGTGTGTTTGAGATGCCTATCTCCCCCTCATAGTGGAACTCCAATTCCATTCAGAATGAAGACCTTTTCTGCCTCTTTTCCACCTCTTTTTCTGAAGTTGGTGAGGCGAAGACGGCAGTCGAAACCGGCGCTTGCCACCGTTCGCCAAGGACTGGGCCTTGCAGGTCCTGGCGCCGTCGGCCTCCGCGTCGGCGTCCTCGTCGGCGGTGCCAGCGCTCAATGCTCGGGCAGAGCGGGTTTTGAACGTTTTGGAGCATCGTGGCTTTTGCGTTCGCAGGGATGGACGGATTTGGATGCTTTAATGAGTGATGCAGGGGTTGTGTACAAAAGCATTATAACCAGATATATCGTTCTCCTTTTGTGCGGTTATTTCATTTTCGGGGGGGGCTGAATTCTGTTTTGTCGCCACGCCCAGGTGTTTGGAATCACTATCCAAAACTCTTCCATCTCTCAGGCGGCACAAAAGCTCCAGATGAACCATGTCGATCTGTACTAAAACGATGCGTCGCTGCTTTGACGGCTGCTTTAGTAGCTCAATTTGAGGTTTGTGAAGAACTGTCATTGTTCCCACTTGAACGATGGGATTCTTTCAACTTGCATGGGCCCACGTAGAAAGCCAAGGGATTGGAGCCGCCTCTTCCTTGTTTGCCAGGAGCAGATTGTTCATTCATTTCGTCCAAATTGTTTTGGTGTCCTAAAGAATGAGGCTCGCTTGCTCGACCAGAATTTCTCCAGAAGCAAACAAATTTCGCATCATGTTTCCAAAACAGTCTCGTTTCGGACCAGGCGTTGTTGGTCTAATTGGTCTTTGCATGTACTTACAGATCGAGGGTTGGGAAGTAATTCGGGAATAGACACTTCAAAGCATGTCTGTTCGTGGGTTTTTACATGTTGCCCGCGTTGTGTCCGATCCGATCCATTCGTGAAAACCCATCGCAACTCTTAGCTCCAGTTCCAATGGACAAACAGTGGTCTTGGGACTGAGAGCACACATGGGAAGCTCAAAGGGGGGCAAGTCTGCAGTCCAAGGCTATGATTTTTGGAGAGATGTCATTCTCAGGTACTTGGATGACCATCCAACTTGATCAATGTCTTACAAACTACTTGTTACTGTTGTTGGGGTGAACATACCCCACAAACCAGGAAGCAAAAAGAAGAATGTTTTGCGCTGAAGAAGGACCCTTTGCTTTTGATGGGTTTAGGCACCACCAGGGCCACCAGGGGATCATCAAAGACTCCACAAGCCAAGATTTCGTCCAGAAAACTAGGGACTAAAAGCACCACCTCCCAAGGACCGTGTGCTTTTCGGCCACCAGGACCTAGGACGCACGGCCGGGCACAAAGAAACCACGTGCCAACTGCCAAGGCAAGCCGTGCCCGGACTGGATCCGGACGCATCGCTCATTGGATTGGACAGTTTGAAGGCGTGGGACGGTCATTGTGGATCACCACGGATCAATCACCTGCAAAATCACGGGGGACGAAGCCCTTGTTGGGGACAAGACACAGCTTGTGTAAGCTTGATTTTCCAAGATGTTGTCCAGGGACAAAGGCTTGGGAGTCAGTGGTGTTTGGCGGACGGCTCAAGTGGCTGCGGAGTTCGGCGACTCCGGCCGAGCCAGCAAACTGGGCATGACATTGGGCACAAAGAGGCCACATGGAATAGAGGGTAGGTATACAGGTAACTAGTGAGTTCTTAAGGGTGAGACGTGCGAAACAGTTTGTGCTTCTCACCATTTATTTAGATTACGAGTAGTTGATGTTCCGTATGCATTAGAGTTTGGGAGGACAGTTCAGGGTTTGCAGCAAACTGCCGGTCAAGCTGGGCAAGAATGCCAAGTAAACCTCAAGGTTGCGCGGCAATCTGAAGAGTCTGACGTGGTCGAAGGCAACGAAGAGCTAGAAGCTACTAGTAGCAAATTAGCTGCTAGTAGTGATGCCCTTATTCCTAGTAGCGATGCTCCTTGCTACTTGTAGCTTCCAGCTACTAGACGCTCAAGAACGCAACAGCACATTGAAATCAGCCATTCCAAAACCATTCACGAGTGCGAGAAGTGCCCCATTTGCCCATTCGCGGCCAGTGACACAGCCCTGCTTGGTGGCGAATCTGATGCAAACGGCCGTGTTGGAAGGACGATGCAGATCTTTCAGATGACGCAGACAACGTAAGAATCTCTGCAATCTGTTTTCAAGCTTTGCAGGACGTCTCCAGAACTTGCGTGATGTTTCATCAGATTGCTTTGCCGCTCTGCGATTTTCACAAAGTCACCAAGATGGCGAAGCCGTTGGCGGTACCAATGGCCGTTGGCACTCATGGTTGTTCAAATTCCATGATGGACAAAGGGATTTGGAGTGTACCAACGATTGTGGGTGAACAAACCTACACACTGCGCAGGAAAGGGGTTCCTGTCTTGAACCTGCCGGTCAAAGCCGTTTGGCCTTTCTTAGGGCAAAGGCAGCCGCCAAACCAGAATCATGTTTCCAGTCTTCGTGGTTTTGAAGATCAAGGCAGGTGCGTGGTGCGTCGCCATAGTTGTTGAGAAGCCCTTCGCTATGCCGGGAATGGGTCCACTCATGACGTGCATGACGTGAGTCCCTCCAGCATAATTCTTTGATGACTTTTCCCGGCAGGTTCTCCACAGAAAGCAAAAGGAGTCCAGGCTAGAGGCCATCGCTTTTAGGTTGGAGGCCGTCACTATGCTATTAGGTTTGGTTTCCTTCTCCGAAGACAAAAGGATTCTTCCGAGTTCGTGTGTCGAACACCGTGCATTCGAGGCGAGCTTCCTCAGCAGCGCCCTGCACAAACGCTGTGGCCTCCGGCTGAGTGGCCAACAGGCGCGCGGAGTCGCGAGTTGCGACCGACTCCGTGGCTGGCACCCTCGACCACCAAAGATGAGAGTCCTCGAAATGTCAACACCATGGTTTGGCAGGTTGACTCACAGCCACAGGAAAACACCGTGATGCGAAGAGACCGACCACGTGGGGTGTGTGCGAGGTGTGTGTCTCTTTCGATCGCGGGTGATAGCAGGGTGTGACAGAGTCTTGCGAGGAAAAAGAAACAGAACTAGTAGGCTATAGCAGGTGTCTTTTATTAAATCTGAACCGAGATCACCGATGTCCTCAATGACTCAAGGGTCCTGGATGATTGGGTCAGGAGTTCAGTGAGTTTCCCGCCCAAGAACCAACACTGATGCCACCGGGAGTGCCCAATCCTTGCGAAGCACGAAGCCAGTGGCGAAGCCCTCTACAATCCAGTCACTGTCCTGGTACAACTCTTCCATTAGCTCCGAAAATTTGAAGGAGTTAGTACTATTAGTAACAAGAAGCTACTAGGAACAAGTGCATCGCTTCTAGTAACAG